TTCTGAGGTATTAATGTTGGCATTCATTTCGTTCTGCTCTTAAGCGAACTTTGTGCAATTTAAACTTTGATATCTTCCTCCTCCAACTATTCTTCTTATTTATCCCTGAAAGTAGCAATTGTTGTAATGAGAACAACATTAGTTAACCCTTTTTAACAATTCTTCACCAACCTGTGCATAATTCCCGAAAAGCGAGCAACAGCAAAAATTTATCTGATGGAGCTCTGCTTATGGGCTAAGCTTATAATACATATAAGAATGTCTGTCTCACTAGTCTAGATAAGCTGATCTCTTAGTGAATATAATTTAATAGCATCTCAACTAACTTACCCGAATAGCAGGTAGGTAACGTACTGCGTTCCAAAATTCACTGTGTGAATTTTCTACTTCTAGATAGATCAGTTTTTCTGAACTAGAGCCAGGAATGTTATTACAGTTAGCCAAAAGACTTAGAGTTTTAGGTTTAAGGCCCTTTAAAGTAGTTTGACATTCTCCATTGTCCAGACTAATATCAGCTGGTAACCAAACACCAATGACTAAGCCATTTCCAAGTAAACCTCCATGAATGGGTATCGTTGGTGTCAAGGTAATTGAGTAAGATTCGCTAAGAGAACACTCCTTGAGGGTTAAAACAGATGGTTCAACCTAGAAAAGATATAGATATCATTATAAGTACTGTTTTTGGATAATAAGCCGGATGGGTGATGATGATATGTGCATGCAGCTAGATATCACAATGCCCATGAAAAGCAGAAGCTTTCCAGACATTGCAGCAAACGTTTGTCAAACGAAATTAAGTTGTGCGTATTATTTTCCTGTTTTAGCAATAAATTGCATAGTTTCTTAGTCTACAATACTTTAAAATCTCTGTAAGAATTGTTTTCTTTAATGCTGCATACTTTTAGAGTAGTTTACAGTTATTTACCGAAGTGGAAGTGAATATTGGTGGATACATATACCAGAATATATCCCACAGAAAACAAAACAAAACAAAATTGCTTTTGTCAACATACCAAAATATGGTCGGAAATCAAATTGATCACAAGCGATTTTGTCTATTGGGCTGCTCGGAGGTAATTTGTATTTGCTAATCGCTTCCGAATCAGCCAATCAGCGTGCACGAAAAGCACTATTCACCTGTGTGATACGTAATACATCATCCTAAATTCCTATTATTATTGTTATTGTTAGTAGTATTATTATTTTTATTATCATCATCATTTTATCAATTTATCACTAATTGCATTGTTAATACTTTTTCACATAAATTTTGTATGGATATTTGTTATATGGCTGTAAGTCTCAGTTTTTCTTTATCTTAGTTGTCGGTTAGCATCATTGGTTAGTAAAAAGATCAACAGGCAACATAATTGGATGCGCTGTTAATAAACCATTACTTAGTTACTTACTCTTACTTACTTTCTTACTTACTTATATATTCAAGGGGGTGCAGAAAAACATCCTTTTTTAAGACTACATGTTTATTGTTAACATTTATCACAATATTTGGTCTGAGGCCTTAAATTTGAGAAAAAAAAACCCTCAAATAAGAAAAGCCAAAGTGTACAAACTGTGACGACACTCGAACTATGAATACCTGGACTTTTTTCCCGAATTTTTGTCATCATGAAATCAAAAGCTCACCTCATGTCGACGTGCACACATTTAAGGAGGTTTTGAATCCGCTTAAAGTCATGGCTGATAAAAGAAAATTTTTCTTGTGGCTAAAATCCCTATCTCCAGCCATAGAATTCGATAGACTTTCCCTACAATTTACGGCGGAAAAATTTGTGCTATTTGATACATGACTGGCCGCAACAGGCAAGTGCAAAGACCAGGAAAACCAGAGCACGGGAACATGGAGGAATTCAGAAAAAAATAAAAATAAACATAAAATCTCAGAAGGAATGGTTTATATTAGAGATAGTACAGCATATATATATATATATATATATATATATATATATATATATATATATATATATATATAAGCGTTATCTTACGCCAGCCTTTGCGAAGCGCCTTCGACATCCATGACCGTAAATTCTTTAATATTTAACTTTTTGAACTACAATGCTCTCTTGTTTACGTTCGAAATACCTAGTACTTTATTCGTATGAAGCCTTAGACGCATTCATGGGGATTAAAAAAAAAAAGATATGTATATCTGTATATTTTAACTGTTGCCTCTATTCAGCGCTATCTTCGGTGTCATGACTGCTTAATTATAGAAATGGCTAAAACAATGTTAATATTTGTCCATTTCTAGTGTAAAACGGTACGACTCTGATTTAAACTGTTTTGCGTACATCGTAAAGAGTTTTCTACTAAATGCCGTTTTATTGTTATTATTATTATTATTATTATTATTATTGAAATATGCGACAAAGCCTTTGTGAAAGTTACTGCGTTACCCACTATGTTGTTCACCGTCAAGTTATTTCGAACGAGAAATGATTAAAGATTATCGGTTCATAATCTATGCAATCATGCACGTATTTAGCTAGAAAATTTGTCAAAATGACCCCTCCCCTCCATTTTTTCCACCCATATTGGTATTTGGTAAATCCTTCTCCGTTTCATTTCACAGTCTCCCCAAATGCACTTTTTTATTGCTGATTAAAGGCAAATGATCAGGAAGAGAAATTCCATCTAATAACAGGCGCTTTTGAAGCTTACTAGTATGCATAGTAAGTTTAATTAACTTCTTCGTCTGACATCTTATTCGAACCGGTGTATTCTACGGCAGAGCCAAGGAAGAGTTACTGTCTCCGTAGAATTGAACTGCTTTATTTACATATTGCAGCTCTCATGTTTTGTGAAATTTGCCTTTACGAAAGTTCTTAATGATCCAAATCAAGTATTAGACTTACGGCAGAGCTTTACCGTCATCATAATTAAATTCCTTACAGTCCATTGACACATAGTTTGCATCTTCCTTCACGAAAATAGTATCGATAATAAAAAAGACTGGGTGCCATCAGAAACCCAAAAGGCTATTCGAGATAAGTGAACCAAATTTTACTTACAAGTATAATTCCTGGGCACCCAGGCCATTTGACGTCCAAAAAATTCAGCTGATACCAGACATGACGTCGTCACGAAAAAAATTAGCAACATATTTTCTGGCAAAGACTGTGATTAGATAGCGCCATAAAAATGCGAATTCCTTTGTCTATTTCATGCGCTCTTATTGGATAACCATAAAAAATGGTACAAAAAAATAGTCAAGAGTTTATGGTTCGAGTGTCCTCACTGTAAGCTACCACATTGCAAAACTACCATATTGGTTAACTACACAACAATGTCTATTTGTATATATCCGAATTTATGATCACAATAATGTCATCAGTAGTGAGATGTCTATTATGTCGAACAGGTATCTGTGAAGAGAGAATTGACCATACTCAGTAATAACATTGCCTACATATTTACCTTTACACCCGCAAAGAAGGGAAAGAGAACAGCCTTAGGAGTGCTCCAAATATTCAGAGGTGATGTGGTATACCGCGCAGACACATTGCAGGATATCTTTTGAAGCAAATAAAATGCAGGTAAGTCTTCTTGAGAACACCATGAATCTAAAGTAACTGTAGATTCCCTTTTAGTCTATAACAATAACAATAATGAAACAGTTAACGCGCAACATGTCATATGGATAATTTCCGCATGTGCATAATAAATAGTTTTTTTATGCCCTTTTGACGTATCTTTCCGTCGTGATATATCTTTGACATTATAAAAAGGGGTGAGCGTAGTATGAAGAGTACAAAGGTTACAAGACTTACCAATCGATTTGGTTCATAATATTTTTCACTGCCTAGTAGTCGAGAAAATAAGGGTTTTCCAGGGCATTCGGACTCATATTCATTGCTTCCAGGTGCTAATGGTCCACAAATGTCATCTGTGTGTATGTGTTTCCCTTCCATATACCAAGTGAACCGATACGAAACATTATGCCATGACTCCATACTTGGATTAAAAAAGGTCACCTCACAGCGAAGGTTCACAGCGGGGTCATCCCCTAAGGGCTCAAAGACTATTTTTGGCTCCGTGATCAGAGACATATCAAATTCAACTGGTGGATCTATCAAACAGATTCAAGCAGAAAAGTTTAACGACATTCATATTAATAGCAGATGACATGCTTCCTTAGTTTCAGCCTTATTTGATTAAAGTGTACATGTACATGTTGTTGTGCTCTTGTCTAATAGGACCCGATGTTATCCTGTCAAAGTTTTTGAGGTAGCAATAAAATTAATTTTACACTCTTTCTATCTGTAACCTTAACTTAGGGCCATTTAACTTAACAAAAAGAAATACAAACCCATTATAAAATCTATACAGAATTTATTTGAAAAAATACATTTTAACTAAACAAAAACAAACATAAAACCTTTAAAAGATCTATTTTAGAATTTATTTTAAAACGAGTTCATGTGAAAGCTAAAAATTTATAACTTTTCTTCAGACGTTTTTCAAGTTCGGTTCCTTTAATGACACACCCATTAGCCAAAAGCGGAAAGGCTCAGATAAGAGAGAAGTCAAATATAAGGAAAAAACCCCACAATGATTGCATAAAGATTAAAAGATCATATCAATTAATTGAAGTATCTATAAGTGTTTGGGTGGGTGCGTGCCACCTATCATATCTACTATATATTTCTCAACTAAACGCAAAGTTCAATCTGAATCATTCCTTTCTTTCACTCTTTATTTCTTGAAAAAACAAAAAACCTACAGAAAGCTCTAGTGAAATTAAATGAAACGCTGTCTGCCTTTCTTACATATTTTATATATCCTATATTTGACTGAATGACAAGCTTCAATAAGGAAAAGAAGAATAGGAAACATTCTTACGCAATCAGCTCAAGCCTCCCACTTGTGGCTTGATAACTGGTCGATTTAAAACCTTAGATAAGTTACACTCCGCATGCATCAATATCATCACCATCATATACAATGACATCAAAAACAACTACAGCACCGATGAAAGCAAATCATATGAACATACCAGAACATTCATCTGGCTCCCCGACTTTTCCATAAGGACAGGGTTCCTTCGTGCCTGCAATAAAATGGGGAGAGACGTGTCAAAATTGATTTCCACTACAATTGGTTTACACAGTAAGATTTTGGTACCGTCCATAAAAATCATATTTAAGAGCAATCTTCTGTAACTTTCGAACTTTTTCAAAAAATCGTGGCCATTTGACCACACCGATTTGGCTGAAATTTTGGCGTGAAGACTGATTTTAAGGTCGTAACCACTAAATGGATATTAAAAAGTTCCCGTTGTTTTTGCTCGGCAAAAAATCGATAAGGCCAGCCTAGTCTGCCCATAATTGCCCGCCAACATGGCGTATCGAAGGTGTTCCTATGACTTCAACTCGAGTCCTGTCTTAAAGATTTCCTAACATTCTTTGAAATAAATGAAAAAAACTATCTCAGCGTTCGAAGGTCGTTTTGCGCCGCCTTGAAGAGTTAATAATTTACCCCAGCTTGTTAGCCTGATATATCCAATGCTACCTCAATCGAGAAGTTGCCATTTTCTTTCACCAACGTTTGTTCATGGATAAATTGATTCAATAAATTAAATAATGGAGGAAATTTGAAGGTCAAAGGAAAAAAGTTATTAAACTATGATGAAACTTTATTTGGAACCAGCTCCTAAATCAGCTCACCGGTCAGAAATAAAGGCTAAGTACTTATATCGTCCAGCATAATAGCAAATTCCACAAGTTTCCTAACATTATGAAAGTATTTGTTGATTTTGGGCAAAAGCAATTATCTCTGAGCGACGCTGCCGCAATGGGATAAATATTTGGTCACCCAATGAATGTAAACAATCGACTTGGCTTTAATGCTCGAACGGGGTTGATTTCGCTCACTGTTTTTAGAACGAAAATTTTTGAAAGAAAAAAGGATTCTTATGAATTCCAACCTAGTTCATTTGGTGGTTATTGGTGACTTCCTCAATTGTGATGCCTTTAACCTACATTAGCGATTGATCCCAGTTGACGCGCCAACAGTTTTGGTATTACATAAATTACATCATTTTTTTAAGATCTACTTTGCTTTGGGAAACTTTTTGTGAAGGATATTTTTTAAAACTTCTTTCGATGGCTCCAAACTAGCTTTAAACATAATTTCTGTGAAAAACGAAGCAATCAATCAGAATTAAATCCTCATTCAACACTGATCTGTGGGCTGTAGACCCACAACCCGAAAACGAAAACCCCTCAATGATCTTGAGACAGGAAGTTCGCGTCACGCTTTATGGCTTTACCAACGAAAATTACTTGAAAGCTTGACAACCTCTCTGTTCGTGCGCTGCGTTAGGCAGCCTGAAGAAGAGTTAAGAAGCTCACGTACACTTTTAAAATAAACAATACTGGTTTGGCATGCAAACTCGAGTTCAATGACTATCATGACGACCTTTTCTAAGTAAGTTCAAAGTATATATGTATTTTGAAGTTGCTCCGATGGTCTACCACTGAGCCACAAAGACACTGCTGATCCTAGCAGTATGCAGGACGCGTGTCATATGAACTTGGTGATAGACCTCGCTCACGTCAAGTAAGTAGAATACCTTATGCAAGCAAAGCACCTCAACAAAGTAAAGCACCTCACCTAGTAAAGCACCTCCATAAAGTAACGCATCTTAAGTAAGTAAAACATCACGCGTAAGAAAAGCACTTCAAGTAAGGGGAGCGCCTCAAGTACGTAAAGCATCTCAAGAAAGTAACACATCTCAATTAAGTAAAGGGAAGCGCCTTAATTAAGTAAAGCGACTCAAGTTAGGAAAGTGCTTCAAGTAGGTAAAGCACCTAAAGTAAAACACTTCAAGTAGGTAAATTATCTGACCTAAGAGAAACATCCCAAGAAAGTAAGGAACTTTAATTAGAGGAAGCGCCTTAATTAAGTAAAGCAACTCAAGTAAGAGAAGTCCCTCTAGTGATTAAAGCATTTCAAGTAAGTAAAGCAGCTCAGATAAGTAAAGCACCTTAAGTAAGTAAAGCATTTCATGTAACTGAAGCACTTTAAGTAAAGCAAGTGCTTTAAGGAGGGAAAGCGTGTCAGGTAAGCTAAACCCAAAAGTCATCTTAACGGTAATATGCCATTTCGCTATTCTGTAGTCTATATGGCATTCGGCCATGAAGTATACACCCATGAAGTGGATGCAAGAATGTAAAGCACCTCAACTAAGTTGTGCACCTCAAGTAAGTAAAAAACCTCAAGTAAGTAAAGTATCTCAAGTAAGTAAAGCATCTTAAGTAAGTATAGCACGTCATTTGAGTACAGCATATCAAGTAAATAAAGCACCTCAGGTAAGTAAAGCAGCTAGAGTAAGTAAAGCATCTCAAGTAAGTAAACACCTAATGTAAGTAAAGTACCGCAATTAATTAAAAACACCCAGATAAGTAAGGCATCTGATGAAAGTATAGCATCTCAGGCAGGCAAAGCATATCAAGTAAGTAAAGCGCCTTAAGTAAGTAAAGCATCTCAAGTATGAAAAGCACATTAGGTAAATAAAGCATCTTAAGTTAATAAAGCACCTGAAGTAAGTAAAGCACCTGAAATGAGTAGGGCATCTCAAGTAAGAAGACACCTCAGTAGGTAAAATATCTGAAGAAAGTAAAGCACGTCAGATTAGTAAAGCAATTCAAGTAAGTGAGGCACCTCAGGCGAGAAAGCATCTCAAGTCAGTAAAACATTTTAAGTAAGTAAAGCACATCAGGTACGTAAAGCATGTCAACTTAGCAAAGCACCTTAGGTAAGAAACACATCTCAAGAAAGTAAAGCACCACAGGTGAGTGAAGCATGTCAAGTAAGTAAAGCACCTCAGGTATGTAAAGCATATCAAGTAAATAAAGCTCCTCAGGCAAGCAAAGCACCTGAGCTAAGTAAAGCTTCCCAGGTAAGTAGAGCACCTCAAGTAAGTAAAGCATATCAAGTATGTAAGGCACCTCAGGTATGTAAAGCATATCAAGTAAATAAAGCTCCTCTGGCAAGCAAAGCACTTGAACTAAGTAAAGCTCCCCAGGTAAGTAGGGCACCTCAAGTAAGTAAAGCATATCAAGTATGTAAGGCACCTCGGGTAAGTAAAGCACCAGAAGTAAGCAAAGCATCTCAATTAAGTAAGCACCTCAGTTAAGTAAAGCATCCTAAGTAACTTAGGCACCTCAGGTAAGTAAGCATCTAAAGTTAGTAGAGAATTTTAATTGACCAAAGCACCTCAGGGAAGTGAAGCATCCTAAAAAAGTAAAGCATCTTAAGAAAGTGAAGCATCTAAAGTAAGTAAGGCAAGTAAAGTAAGTAAAGCACCTCAGGCAAGTAAAGCATGTCAAGTCAGTAAAGTACCTGATATAGGTAAAGCATCCTCAGTAAGTAAAGGAAATCTGGCAAGTAAAGCATCTCAAGTAAGCAAGTAACCCCAGTTTACTAAAGTATCTCGACTAAGAAAAGCACCTCAGGAAAGTAAAGCATCTCAAGCAAGTAAAGCACATCAGGTAAGTAAAGCTTCCCGAGTATGTAAAGCAGCACAGGTGGATAAAGTACCTGAAGTAAGTAAAGCATCTCAGGTAAGTAAAGTACATCACACAAGTAAAGCATCTCAACTATGTAAAACACCACAGGAAAGTAAAGTATCCATGGTAAGCAAAGAATCTCAAGTAAGTGAAGCACCTCAGGTAAGTAAAGCAACTGAAGTGAGTAAAGCACTTACTTAGGTAGGTAAAGCATCTCAAGTGAGTAAAACACCTCAGGTAAGTAAAGCATCTCACGTATGTAAAGCACCACAGGACAGTAAAGCATCTTAAGTAAGTGAAGCACCTCAGGTAAGTAAAGCAACTGAAGTGAGTAAAGCACTTACTTAGGTAGGTAAAGCATCTCAAGTGAGTAAAACACCTCAGGTAAGTAAAGCATCTCACGTATGTAAAGCACCACAGGACAGTAAAGCATCTTAAGTAAGTGAAGCACCTCAGGTAAGTAAAGCATCTCAAGTAAGTAAAGGACTACAGATGAGTAAAGCACCTGAAGTAAGTGAAACATTTCAAGTTAGTGAAGCACTTTAGGTAGTGAAGCATCTGAAGTGAGTAAAGCATCTCAGATACGTAAAGCATCCCAAGTAAGTAAGCACCTCAGGTAAGTAAAGCATCTCAAGTATGTAAAGTACCACAGGAAAGTAAAGCTACCTAAGTAGGTAAAGCACCTCCGTTAAATAAAACATCTCAAGTAAGAGAGTCACACTAAGTAAGTAAAGCATCTCAGGTAAGTAAAGGACTTTCGGTAAGTAAAGCATCTCAAGTAAGTAAAGCAACTCAGGTAATTAAAGCATCTTAGGTAAGTAAAGCACCTCAGCTAAATAAAGCATCTCAAGTAAGTAATGCATTTCATGTAACTGAAGCACTTTAAGTAAAGCAAGTGCTTTAAGGAGGGAAAGCGTGTCAGGTAAGCTAAACCCAAAAGTCATCTTAACGGTAATATGCCATTTCGCTATTCTGTAGTCTATATGGCATTCGGCCATGAGGTATACACCCATGAAGTGGATGCGTGAGCTTTCAAGATTGATTGCCTCGTTTCTGGGCTTCTTCTAGGAAAAGAAAGAATTTTGAAGAGAAAACAAAGAAACATTGCTCTTTTTTTTCCTTTAAAATCCAACCTTAAAACCCCTTGGGCCCTTTAGTCATTTTAAACTACACCAAATCTGAACTTTGTGTGAGCTTCGAAATGAAGAAACAGTTGGCTGGTTTGTTACTGATACTAGTAGATAAAACGAATAGAAGTGTCTTACCAGCGCAGTAGGCAATTGCACAGGAGTACGTGGGCCCCAGGAAGTAGACGTAGTATGAGCTACAGTTCCTGACCTTTATGTTTAACGAATTAAAACAACCATTATTTATATTAAAAAAGTTTATGCATGCTTTTCGGTCCACCGTCCCATCTTGCTCTGAGGGATTAGTTCCTTTTATCCAAACTGGGGCTGCCGTGCCGCAGTGATTTTTGTCGACAATAGAGGTAGGCATCTCACCACCTGTGAAGCTTGTAAAGCGATACCATCCCCAAGGTAGACTTGAATCACATAGAGCTTTTTGTCCCACTTTCCATATACTTCTGATGCTGCGCCGTGGTTCATCAATCTCTTTGTAGTTACCTTTATCACAGCAATCACTGCAATCAGACTGAGCGGCCGATCCGTCAAACATAACATGCACGAGCACATTTAAGAGTAAAGAGCTGGTAAAATACATCACAAGTAAGAGTATCAAATATCTCCTCTGAAAATGTTTCTCCGCTTCACGATTCCTTCGTTGCAGTGTATACTGAAATATTCATGACAAGCTACATCATTATTATTGAGACAAACAAACGATCTGATTGGTTGAAGTTTACGTAAACTCTAAAAGTAAACCATCATCTATAATGCATTCGCAAAGATCTGTGCGTCCTGTCTGTAATATATAGTGCCCTTTCATTTAATTAGAGGTGCATTTTGATAATGTATAATCTTTTAGATCCCTCGAACAGGCTATGTGTTGATACTGAACAGTTCCTGATTTAAACTCGTTTCTTCCGCGATGTTCCGTTCTAGAAACCGTCAAACCAAAACAATTACGTTGCCAATTGTGTTTGTCACCTTTGTGCTGGTAAAAATAACCTTACATTACATAAATAAATAAATAAATAGGTATATTCCAAAGATAGACAAAAGACTGCCTGGAGCTAATCTGCCCCTTTAACCTCGTTTCGGCTATTTACTTAAAATTGATCACGTAGGTGGTTATCGCAAAACAACTTCTATGAAGGGAAAACTTATTCAAATTCAAAGCCAGTAAATGCTTCTAACAACTGTTTTCGAACCGCTTTGCTCTTGCGCTATCATCACATTTCCAGTTTTCCTGGAAATTGGAGCATGCGTAGATAGCATTGCGTAGCTCTCAGAAATTCATGAAGATAAATGTAAATGATGCGTGAGCGTTTTTCGTGGAAAACTTTGTTTACAATACAACAGACTTTTGTGCACGACTGACTGCTTCTCTTCAAAGCAGGTAATTTACTTCAATTTCTTTCAGATTTCAACGGAAACTAACGCTGACTATCTTAAAAATTTAAACTATAACTTATGGGCACATTTAATGACGAATTCTGTCTCAGTATGGACAGTGAACAATTCTTAGAACACACGCTCTGATTTTATCTTCGATGAGCCCGTCTACAATGGTAATTTCACCACTGAATTAAAGAGAAGAAATGATGGGCGAAGGAAAAGAAATGGTTACACTTTTTACTCCAAGTAACATCTATCATAAATATTTCAAAATCATATAGCATGGTATGGTGATTCAGACAAAAGACGATAAATATTGAGGGGCTCTCGAAAGTTCGGCGAAAATGTTGTTAACCTATCCATTGTTACGCGGTAATGGTTCAAGTTCCTTGTATCATTCAAAATTATTCATGCCTAAGAACTCTATCGGAGCGCAAGTGAACTCGGCAATGAGCCAGGGCGGAAAGGACCGTACTGGAGTGGACCCAGAACTCTTGTAAACCTACCCAATTAAAGCCGGAATGAGAGAAATATGAAAGTCGTACGAGGAAAGATCCTTAAAAATATGATAGAAATATCGTATAACCATAAAAAACACATGTTCAATCTGTTTTTGTTTTCTAATTATATATTTTTTCTTAGAAAGACCGGTAGTTTGACTCAAATTATATACGTGAGTTCTTCTTGGAATCGAACAAGATGTTTGTTTCCACTCAAAGGCCTATCCGCAAACAACACTCGTTTCATGGAATGTTAGAAAAGCTTGTAAATACTTGCTATTCACTTCGTCTTCAAAGCTGAAAGTATTTTTACAACTGAGAAAATGATAACTCCATAACAAGAGACTGAAAAATCCAAATAACCAGTGGAGTTGAGTGTATCATTTCGAGGCGAAATGCAAACTTCTGACTTTGCATTATTTTTGCTATTAATGAATATTAGCTTTCAGTTACGCTTTCTTATCGCTCATGCCGCATAGAAGAAGGGACTTACACTGTGATTATTGGCATTTCCAGATTGGATATATCGCCAGACAAATGTGTAATCACAAGCGGTTCTTTCAGCATCAGACTTTTGGAAACTCCCGAATTTCAATTGTCACTGTGTAAATTGGCATCATAAACAAGAGAACTTTGAAACTCTCAGTTGACACTTACAAGTCCCTTAAATATCTTGTGATTTTGTATCAGTCAGCTTTGAAATGCTCTTGAAATAATGTCCGATAGCAATGTATAGGTATACCTACCTTCGGCAAGCTCCACCGAGAGTTGTGACATATGGTACTCATTAAGTTGTAGAAGATTATGAAAAGACAGAGAAATGTTACAGAGATGCCCTGAGTTTTCTGGAGGAACTTAAACTTTCAGGTTACTGGAACGAGGCGCTTTTCCAAAGAAATATTGCTAATGCACTCATGTTTCAAGAGAAATATCAAGATGCGATTGAAACTTCAGAAAGGGGTTATAATAAAAGGATGAAGCTTCTTGGAAAGCACCCACAGACTGGCAGTCTATCTTGTATAATTTTACAATAACTCTGAAAGTAGGGAATAAACCATTTTAAAGCACCTTAATAAGGTTACAACACTTGCAAATTGTATTTTAATGATGCATCTTATTGTGTTTCAAATAGTGATGCTTGTATTAAGATATTAATATTATTTTGAAGGGAAGAGTATTTTTCCACATTTACATACTAATGAATTAAAATACTGGTGACAGTCAAGCAGATTGACCCACTGATTGATTGCTACATTTAATCTTCCCATGTTAGCTAGGTAATTAAAGCTATAATGTAATCCATTTATCTGTTGTAGTGAACGGTTGTTATGAGACCTGGGAAAGTCCCTGAGATTGTGGCAGCGTGCTTCAAGGTAAATGCTTTAAGGCTTAATACCTGGCAATTAGACTGCAAAGCTTAAGTTATCGAATTTATAATTTTTTTTATAATTTGAGCTTAAGAGGCATATCTGACCATCAAATGTAATGTAGACTGAGTTTGTTTAGAGTTTTAAATAATTTCTTGCATGGCCATTGTAGGAGGGACTACCTGAAAACTTCTGTGCAGGGAATCAGTTGAAAGTGCTTTAACTGCCTTAGTGGTCATGCATGCACTTTCAAAGTTCAAATGTTCACTATACCCTTCCTTCAATTTAACATTATAACATGACAGAAGTGTAAAGGACATGATTGTTATGAAAACCCTATGGTTAAATTTGTGTGTCCTTTTTGATGGTTGAGTTGTCAAAAGGTAGGGGTGTCGGATCATGTGTACTGTAAGTGGCCTCGGTCGACATGTCGGCCGATACATCGATCGATATATCGGTCGACTGTCAAGGTACTTGTCGACCGACTATCGGTCGACAGTCGATCGACTATCGGTCGATCGTCGACCGATATTTGACCGATACTTGACCGATGCTTGACCGATACTTGACCGATAATTCACTGGCAGTTAATCGCTACATATCGGCCGATATATCGGCCGTCAGTCGGTCGATATATCGGTCGACTATCGGCCGATACATCGGTCGACTGTCGGCCGATATGTCGACCGAGGCACCTATAGTACACATGATCCGTGTCTACTTATACGAGGATCATATAAACACAGCAAAGAGTAAAAACAACCCAACTTCAGCAGCATGTTTCCTGCTCAGCTGCTTTTATAAAAATTCTGAGCTAGTGGGAAAAAATTTGACCAGGGCAAATGCCAGAGAGGGCATAAATGCTGACATTATTTCCTCCATTTTGGGTAAGTACATTGCATTTGGTGTTTTTGTCATTTTATTACTATTGGGAATCTGTACACTTGTACATGTTGATCAACACGACTTTCTCAGGGATCAGCCTTGTAAAAAAATTTTGGAACCATCCATATAAAAAAAGTGAGGAAAACAACTCCAAGCAAGTATTCAGAAGTTCCTTTGATCTAAGTGATCTCGGATTGTTGATTGTGGTATGAGTCTTTTATATATATATATAGAGAATGAGGAGCTTTGGTTCCTTAAAGGGATGTGCAAAGGATACAAGGAAACGTTACAGGTAGGAGGCCAGGGTAATTACAGTATAAATAAATTCCTTTGAAGTACATGTACCTGTGCTAAACATTTTCTCCTACCTGTCTGTTTATCACAAAAAATGTTCCTGAATCCACATTATAGTTTTAAGTCTGCTTTGACACTGCGATGCTTCTCCAAGAACAAGCTCATCAGAGAAATCACACAACCCCTGTTAGGGTTGGTCCATAGAATGTAGCTGAACAGGAGAAAAGTGTGTGTTGAATTTGAGGCATTCTCTTCAGCATGATACTAAAACAAACATAGCAGAATTAATTGGACAGATATTTTACAAAAGCTGGTTTCAAACTCATTCTGCATATTTCTTACTGTCTATAAAAGATTGGATGTCATGTCAAAGTCTACTCCTGGATTAATCTAAAATGGATGTCCAGTGAAGTAATGGAAGCTTAAACCTCATTTTAATTATTGTGTTTTGCTTGTTTAGGCTCCGATTCAGACAGATAAGTTTCTAGAGGCAGTCCTGAGACCTGATGGTAAAGAGATACACAATGTATGTCTTAAAGTTCGAATGATACGAAACAACTCTGCTGTAGAGCTACAAACAGTGTAGAGCTACAAACAGTGTAGAGCCAAGATTATCTCTTTTAGGTAATTGCTTTTTAGTGAAATTTGTACTTCATAGTGTTTTTTCCTGTAATCTTTATTTCAATTCATGGTACTATATTTGCATGTTGCTGAACAATCCATTCTGTAATGGGAGGAAGGGATGAAGGGTGTGATTTATAAAAGAAAAGAAAGAAAGCAAAATCGTGGTAGAATCTGTCCAAGTGAAAGCCATTAGGACTGTGGTAGAGACTGGAGCCAGATCTGATGAGGAGATGGTGGCCAGCTGTGGAGAGGACCTTGGGGCAGGAGACATCGAATACAGGTGTATCTCTGGAGGAAAAGTGACTGAAGTTACTCAAACTGAAGCTGGAGGTGCTAGGTAATGTTGAATTAGTCTGAAATTGATTTTTAGATTGTGGAACTCGTTTTGGTTTGTCTTTGCATTTGGTGTTAAAATAAAAGCGCTGAGTAAAATGATATACACAGTGTGTGAACCAAACAATGTTTGCATTCAATTTGCCTTTTTTTTT